AATAGAAATTTTATCAGTTATGAGCTAAGCTTAGAACAGCATGCAAGATAGGCTAAAATCTTAAGCAAGAAAGGGAGATTTAAAGGTCAAAAGCTCACCCTTGAAGACCCTCTTTATAACTGCAACTCCAGCAGCCTTTTTGAACTTAAACCAATCCAAGAACACCAAAAACAACCTCAAGGAGCCTTAGCAACACAAGCAAGGTGTTTAAGTGTGTGTTTGTGCACACAACTAGGACAAATCTACACTTTTGAGCACAAAAATGAAGCAAACAAGGCAATATAGATACAACACTATATATATCCTCTTCCCTCAGATTTTCTGACCCTGGAGGAGGGAGGAGAAGCCTCCCTCTTATAGAGAAGGAAAGGCAAAGCTTCTAGGAAAAGCTAAGCACCAAGGCAATCCCTCCATGCACGTGTATGGAGGATGGCCCTTATGTCCTCCAGCTGTGCCAGCTGAAGGAAAATTTCTCCAAAAAGGTGTCAAAAAGCAGCCGACCACCTGAAGTAGTCGGCCTGCTACTTAAAGTGGTCGGCCGACCACTTTAAGTGGTCACTCAGAGCAAAAACTGGTCGGCCATGGGTGGGAGAGGTCAACACACTAAAAGCAAGCAATTGGTGTGGTGGCCGACCAGAAAAGATGCCCCAAAGACCAAGAAAGCCAGTTGTCCGACCAGAAAACTGGCTGGCAGAGGAAGAAGTGGTCGGCCAAGAGAAATACTGGTCTCCCACCCTTGGACCACCTTCCAAACAAGGAAATCAAGGTTTGTACCAAAAACAAACCAAAGCGGATGCAAGACGAGAGATCGGGAGGCAAAGCGTGCGGCCGAAAGCCTCGAAAACTAGTTGACGAGCACCAAAAGTGGCATGCGACCACAAAAGTGGTCTCCCAGACCACAGTGTTCCTCTAGGCAAAGGCAACAAGGTGTGGTTCAAAAACCACGCCAAATGGAGAATGTTAAGCGGTCCCGAGACAAAGCGCGCGGCCAAAGGCTCCAAAAACCAAAAATTAGTCTCCAAACAGGAAAAGTGGCCTATGACCACAAAAAGTGGTCTACGACCGCAAAGAGATGGTCTACAAGACCTCTCCCTCCCTCCGGGAAGAGAAACAAGATTCGGTCCGCAAACCGAGCCGAAGCACAAAAGAGTTCAGAGGCCCGGGGGCAAGGCTCTCAGCCAAAACTTTGAAACCTCTAAACGAGCACAACATGCACCATCACCGAGCGCTCAATTGATGACGTTTGAGTCTTAAGGTTGGTCAAAAATGGGATGTCTACACTCTCTCTCTATATTGTGTTACATTGTGCTCTAAAGTGAGTGTTCTTCACATTTTTGCCTACAAACACCTAGTCAAACACCACTACCTTGGAGCTGAGATTCTTGAAGGTTTGTTTGGAGCTTAAAAAGCTAGTTTTTGGCTCAAAAAAGCTGCTGGTTTTGTTGTTCTTCAAGGGTAAGCCATATTCTCTTTAAAGCTTTGTTTTAGTTGCTTACTTAGCCATCTTTGCATGCTTCTTTTGGCTTAGCTTTCAACTGTAAAAACCTTTGTTTTGAAGTGTTTAAAAAGGTTGTTTAAGGCCTTGTTTGAGTTAGGGGTGTCTCTCACTCTTTTGTGCCTTATTTGCTTTGCTTTGTGCTACCTTTTAAAGCCTTTGAAACTATCTCCTTTTGGCCTTCCTACCACTGAATTCCAAGGGAATTTCAGTGGTGAAAATGTGGTTTTGAGGTCCCAAATGGGTGGGGGTTGTCCCCCCTCCTCTTCTCTTGTTTGCTTGCGTTGATGGCCTATCAAAAGAGCATGTATTTATATCTTCTTGAGGCTTTATTTGAGCAATTTTTTGTGACTTTTTAGACCTGTCATGACTCTGTTTTTGGCTATCTTGGTCACTTCTTGCATGCTTCTTGTACTTGTAGTGTAATCCTACTTGTAGCCTTGCAAAGTAGCATGTCTTTCTAGCATGTTTTGGCTCTATCTTAGCATGTTTTAGGCATTATTCTAACATGATATAACTCTGTTTTGGGTTGGTTTGGTTGCTTCTTGCATGCTTCATGTACTTGTAGTGCAATCCTCTTATATAGCCTTAACACGCATCATGCTTTGGACCACCATTTTAGCATATTTTTGGCTCCACTCCAGCAAGCTTTTACTCATGTCTTTCCATACTTAAGCTCTGTTTTAAGTGGTTTTGATCATGCATGCCTTGCTTTGTATAGCCATAGTGTAATCATGCTCACTAGCTTTGAGTTTCAAAGTCTCTAGCATGCTTCACTTGAGTTGTTTGCATGCTTTGGCCTCATCTCTCACATGATTTCAGTGCATGTAGTGTAGACATACCCTCACGTGCTTCACTCTTTCAATGTTTTTTTGAAGGTTAAGCCTTATGCTTCACTTATGAGCCAATATGTATGCATGCTTGCCTAAGCTTTTGGGCTGCCATTTCAACATGTTTTTGGTGTTATTTTACCATGTTACAACTCTGCTTTTTGTTGGTGAAGTCATCTCATACTTGGTTTTGGTATGTGTAGTGTAATCCTCCTCATTGGCCTTGCATGCATCATGCTTCATGCCTCCCATTCTAGCATATGTTAGCTCTACTCCATGCATGTTTTGGCATTATTTTAACCTGTCTTGGGACTGTTTTGAGTCATCTTGGCCCTTTGGGGCTTGCTTGATATGGCTTTAGTGTAATTGGCCTTGCTAGCCTTAAGCTTTGAGCCTCCTAGCATGCCTTATTTGTGATGTGTGCATGATATGGCATCATTTGGAATGTAATTTCAGAGCTTATGTCTTTGCTATACTCCCATGTTTATCACTCTTTCATTGCTCTTGAGGGTTATGCATTATGCATTGTTTGTGAGCCAATGAATGAGCATGCTTTCCTTCCCTTTTGAGCCTATGTTTTAGCATGCTTTCGACCTTGATTTAGCATGCCTCAACTCTGTTTTGAGTAGTTTGGGTCATATGGGATTTGTTATGCATGGTTGTAGTGCAATAGCCTTGACTAGCCTAGTGATTCAAGGTCCTTAGGATGCTATGTTTGTGTTGTTTATATGGTTTAGCATCATTTCACACCTGATTTCAGTGCATATAGTGTAGTCACACTCTCACATTTGTCACCTCTTTAATTGTGTTTGAGAGTTGACCCTTATGTCTAGTTGATGAGCCATTACATGAGCATCATTATCTTGCCTTTCATGCCATCATTTTAGAGCATTTTGGCCATTATTTTGGCATGCACAAGGTCTTTTTGGGGCTGGTCTAGTCCATTGAGCATTGTATTGCATAGTCCTAGTGTTGTGTACCTCACTAGCTTTCATGCTTAACGACTCTAGTATGCCATACTTGTGTTGCTTGCATGATATGTCATCATTTCTCACATGATTTCAGTGTTTGAACCTTTGTCAAACTCTCATATATGTCACTCTTTCAATGTGTTCGAAAGTTAAGCCTTTTGCCTTGCTTGCGAGCGAATGAATGAGCATGCACATATTGCCTTTTTGTGCCTGAGTCTTAATGTGTTTTTGCCACTGTTTTGGAGCATCTTAGGTCTCTCCATATGTGGTTTGGTCATTTGAGATTGATAGTGCATGCCTCATGTGCAATATGTTTCGCTAGCTTTGATGCCTTAGCTTTTAAACATGCCATGCATGCATTGTTCACATGATAGAATCTGGTGCATGCCACATTAACATTGATAGATAGGCATGTTGTGTGTGTTGCATTGTGTTTGGATTGGATGTTGATCCAAACACAAGGAATGTGGTACATTTCATACTCAAAGTGATGAAACGTGTTGCGTTTCTTGGTCGCCAACCCTCTTGATCAAGCATGATAGAGGTGGAGACCCTTATATGTTATTTGTGCATTCATTGACATTGACTTGTGCAAACTTGGCTTCTTGGCCATCGTGCATTGCGATGCTCGATTAGTGGCCCGAGAGTCGAGTGCCGCACTTCTTTAAGCTTGAGAAATGATAGGGAGGGTGGTTGTGTACACACCTCGGTCTAGGTCATACCAGCCCAGGAACAAGATCACTAGGTGCAAGGATCAAGGATGTTACACATCTCGGCCTAGATGATACACATCTCGGCCTAGGTGATGCACACCTTGACGTAGATGATGACATCTTGGCCAACATGCCAGGGTGAAAGTGGAGGTCAACCAAAGTGGTTCCAAGATGGTCCTAGGTGTAAGAAGTTCAAGGGTGTGACCTAGGCTACACACACCAATCAAGGAATAAAGCATACAAGCAATACTCAAGCAAATCACATAAGCACAAAACAAGACAGAGACCTTTACTTTAGGCAAAACAAGTCGAAATCTACAAATGCAAACTTAACAAAACAAAATCAGATGCACATGAACATGGCTAAGACGAGGATGAGGGTCATTATAGTGTCCATTTTTCTTTTCTAACTCAAGTTCTAATGCTAAGAAAGGGCTGCCATGAATGGGAACATCACTATGTTCTCTTTTCTTTCTATCATTTCTCTTTTTAGAGAGAGAGAGAGAAAGATGGATGGATGGATGGATGGATGGTGCGTCTTTGTAGTCCCTACATTGTTGTTTTATGTCTTAAAACAATATTTGTTTACGTTCCCAGTTATCCCAATTTTTTTTACCCAACTGGTTTCCTATATATGCTTTGTCATTCGTGCTTTAGTAGTTCTTAGTTAAACAATTACCTACTGAACTAATACCTTGGAATTTTAATTTCTTCCTTCCTCGTTCATGGATGTGTTGGTATAACTATATGTTTTGTCGATAAAGGAATGTACATATATAGCTTCAAACCAACAAAATGGGTCCATCATAATTCAGACCAAGGGAATTGATTTTTTGAGAGTCCTTACTGCTTAGTAATGTAGATGCATCTAGACTCTTGTTTATAAATTATAATTATGGTGCATCTTTTTGTAAGCACCACTATGCCTTTTTTTCTTTTTGGATAATCAAGTCTGATTCTTGTTCACCTGTATTTGATTACTCATTCTTAAACAGGGAAGCTGCTCTAATTGTGTCTAAACGAATGCTGGCAGAATATTATGTTAAAAGCAGTTCAGAAAAAGAAGACAGCAGAAAGGTATTTGCTCATTGTAGAATGCTGAATATACTTGCCTGTATGAGAATTTGATCTTAACTCCCTCCCTTTTTTGCTGTCACTTTTTTAGGTGTTGACACTTGAACCATATGAGAATGAGACCCATTTTGGAAAAAGCAATGCCAGGCAAACATTGGAGCTTGAAGGGAGTGGCCTAGCCACCAGAAAGGTTTCTTGGTTGTTTTATCCTTATTTGGGAAATGTAGAAAACAACCTTTTGTTGGAGGTCTATAAATTATTTGTTTATTTCATCTGTGTTCTTGATTTTTTTAGTGACGTACTTTTTTTATTCATGAAGTTCTTGAATTTTTTAATTGCTACTAGAGCATTTTAGGAAGGGCAAGCCTAATAAGAAATATAATCTTGACCAAGTGTTACTAGAGCTGCTAATACATTTTGGATGCACGTTTTGAAATATGGTACAATTTTGTTCCAAAGCAATTAATTATCTATCCAAAGTGATTCCAAAATTTTTTTCCTTTGTTTTTCTTAGGGGAAAAATTAAATATAATGAACTAAAATCTAAGGAGCATTGCAGTTTTGGAAGGACAAAATGGGAAAAAATGCTCATAATGCTTATGAAAATGTGTTTTTTCATGATCAATTGAAAAAAATGTACTATTTTTTTTTTTTTATTGGATGTCTAATCTTTGAAAGTAAATTGCTCTAGGAGTACCTTAAATTTTAATCTTGTAATTTATACAATACCCCTATCGTTTCACATTTTAGTGCATGTGGTGTTTTTTGTTCTTGTTTTAGTTCCCATTCCATACAGCATAACGATCCAAGTAACATGGGTCGAGACAGAGAATGGAAAATTTAGTTTTGGTAGAAATGGAAATTTTTTCTTTGTTTTGAATTCTATTGTATTCAAGGAATATGAATCTTTTTTTTTTTTTTCTTTAAATTTTATTTTGATGAGAAACTTTATGGTCTATTGATTGTGTGATTATGGGGCATATTATGAAACATTGATGAATAAGAAATTTATTTTCTGTTTAATGTATGATCGTGGAGCATATTATGGTTTCATTTCTTACTCTTTTTTCATCTTGACATTACGAAATGCTAAATCATGATGTCCCTTGGCATGTATGTATGTATTGTCATAAGGTGATTCAATTATTATTACTTTCACTGCAGCACAACTATCTTGGTTGATAATCACTTTTGATAACTAATTGCGCTTTGGAAAACATTATTTGAACACTAGATTGATTATCAAGGCCAGCATAATTTTCATGATCCATTCTCAGAAATTGCCTTTGCAAAAGGGCAAATGGGCATAGTTTATTAAGCGCACTAGCTTTAGCCAAAACATGTATTTTTGGGTGATTTGTGCTGCGTGTCCATTAAAAATTAACATAATAATAGTTAATTTGTACTAAAAGGATGTTAACTGATGTTGTCTTATTTTGCCTTAAGTCCCTTTTGTCCAACACTAAAACCTGCATTGGTAGGTGTGGAAATTGAAGTATAAAAATATGGAATGCTATTGCTTTTGATTTATCTAAAGATATATTTAACCCCTTTTTTTTTCGTTTTTACTTCACTTATTGTGCATTGCCTATCAATCCCTGAATTTTACCAAATTTATATTTTTAGGTAGTACAAGATGCCTTGTGGTTTGGGCCAATCAAAGAAGAATAGTACACCAAGATTGGTAAGGCTATTGCGGTATTAGCCCATGGAGCGATGTGTTATGTTATGTTCTGTTCCTTCAAGGAGCTAATCAAAGACAAGGATTACAATACTGTTGGCGAAAGTGTGTTTAAAAGTATTGTTAAGTTTGTCTTGAGTGTTTTTGATATGGTAAATTCTAAATTCTACCTTAATGTGCCTGTGGCCAATTTTTTGTGGATATTGTTTTTGGTAGTAGTCTCGCGGAGCTTTCATCAATTTTCTGTGGTTTAATATTTGCTTTAGTCTCGTGTAACTAAAAAATTTATTTGATGTTTTGTTCAACATTTAATGTAGGTACATTAGATTTCTATTTTGTTATGTTTGAACAACTCATGGATTTGATGGTGATTCATTATATGTTTGTCAAGTAAGATTTAGATGACTAGATCTAAATTTCACTAGGTGGATATGGCCGAGCTTGATTATGAATGTGTTGATAGGAATTCAGAGTGGATGTGTCATTTTAACTTGATGTGTGCCGAATGAAAATAGTGAAGTAGTTATATGTGATTCTCCATTGTGCTACTATGGTGGGTTAAGAATGGTTGTCTTGTGTCCATTGTCAATTGACTAATGCAAGGATTTTAAATATCAAATCATTTTTGCTCAATTAGTGTTCATCTTATATATTGGTGTTCCTTTTGTTTTGATGGGTTAGGGACTATATGAATCATGGAACCCTCACAATTGCTTTAGTGTTCATCTTATCCTTTTTTTAATTTTATATTGCTCTACTTTTTAAAAGGTGAGTTTTGTAGTTTGAACTAGTTGACTGCTACTTGATTCTCACACAAGTGCTTCTTAGGTCAATCAATTACATTGTTCTTGATCATTTCATGATGTGCGTTTTGTCTTGTTTTTATTTGAACTATTTTTCTTGTTATCATTGTTGTTGTTTTTGTTATAATTGTGGTAGATTATAATATTATAGTATGAATGTCTTTGTTGCATGGGTTTTTATGGTTTGGAAGGTCTCTTTCATAGTGCACTTACATTGAATATATAAAATGATACACATTGGGGGTTGCCGGTATGTGATTTTGCTGTTGTAAATGTATCACTTTCGTCTTGTGTCATTATTGATGTATCTTCTTCTGATATATTTAATTAACATAATTTTTGTTTTTTTGCTATAGCTGTGGTGTTTCTCATAATATGTTTGAATTTACACTAGTGTTTATAGGGTGAATTGTTAAAGAATGTTGGTTCCATTGCTCTCATTTTCATTTACTTTTATATTCCAGGAAGATTTTGAGAGAATATTTGATCAGAGTGTGGTTGAGGATGAGTACTCAAAATTATGTGAAATTCTTGACTCTGTAAGAATTTTTATATACAAGAAATTTTTTTCTTTTTTGGTTGTTTACCTGTTCTCTTTTTCTCATATGTGAAAACACTTTTTTCCATGTGCAGTGTAAATGTGATCCTCTTGTAGCTATTGCTGAGGGGAAGGTGAAAGTTGATCAATTTTCCACGCTAAGGGAACATGATCTTTGTGGCACTATACGAGTAAGAATCTTTCTTTTTCATTCCTAGCAATTGCTTTGGCTTTAATAATTGTTAGAATGTATTAGGGACGGATCTACAGTAGGACCAGGGGTAAGAATCTTTCTTTCTCTAGATTTTTGATAATTCTGTTAGTACCCTAACATATATAAATTATATATATCCTTCATAAAATTGTAACAGTGCCCTCCTTAAAATGGTGATGATGCCCCTTCTATTAAGGATTTTCTTTCTAATTACAAAGATTCTACTAATATGAGTCCTTCTACCATGCACTCCACAAAAGGGTATACCATATACAAGTTATGATATTTCGTGGTGTTAATACCATAAAGTGTTAGAACTAAATCATTTTTGGTTATAACTAAAAGGACCATAATAAATAATAACCAAACATGACGGCTTCGGTCATAACCTAAAAATAATCCCAATAGGTCATAACTAACATCGCAATGAGTCATAACCAAAATAATAGTCACAAGAAATTATAACTAGGTTATAACCAACACTGCAATGAGTCATAATTAATACCATAATGTGTCATAACTAAGGTTATAAAGATCATAACCAATGTGATAAAGATCATAACTGCGACATGCAATTCATACTTTTTTGCAATTGGTTTTTATAGAATTTTTCAAATAAATATATCATTTCTATTTCGACTTATTTTGTTTTATAATTTTCCAATCTACTTATAATAGTTATTCTCCAATATTTTTATAAAATTTAACCTTAAATCCCTTAATTTGAAATTCATATTTATCCAAATGGACTTATAATATTTAAGTTTAGAAATATTTCATTGTTGTTTATTATGAAAAAAAAAAAAAATCAATATTGTCTGTATGCAGCAACATAAATGTAGTGCCGAAAGAAAGGTGAAAGCTGATCAATTTTCCAAACTGCGGGAACATGATATTTATGATGACAGAACAGAGGTAAGAATCTTTCTTTCTCATTGCTAGCAATTGCTATGGCTTTAATAATTATTGTTAGTTTGTATGTTTCTCATTTAAATATTTGTCTTGATGCAACTATATCCATGCAGTGCCAAAAAAGAAGTTGAGGTAATTTTTTATTTTATTTTGTTTTCTAGGTTGTGAAATAAATGTATTCTTGAATGTTCATTGTGGTAATTCATTTTGGTTCCGTTGGTTGATTGACTTCTAAGATATTTTTGAACTGTGATAGTTGTCAAGCCAATTTTTAATGCATTGTTTGGATTTAATATTTTATAGTATCTCCCTGACCCTATGGAAACTAGATAAGCATACCATCAATTTATTATAAATTGGGAATTTGGTCTTAGGTAGCATTTGGTATCAGAGTTAGGTCAAGTACCTAGTAATTTTGCTTCACCAGTAGGCGATAGCCTTGCCTTGGCTGCCCGCTAGATCTCAACCCATTCCACTGCTATATTTTCTTTCAGTATCACTTCGTGATGATCTCTAACTTTATCCACTAGTTTATTCCAATCCCAAATATCTCTATCATATTTTTTTTTACTCGCAATCTATTTTTGGGTGGGTTTCTCTTTCACTTTGTCTTTCCCTCTATTTCAACCTCAAATAGGTTTCCATCTTCAATCCTATTTGAGTTTGAGGAGGGGTATTATACCTATATCATGGTGAGCATGGTGATATACCATGTGAACCACCTAAGCCACCCCATCTGGCGCACAATCCAAGTCACCCCCTCTGGCACACAACCCAAGTTGTCCCCTTGGCGCACCACCTAAGCAGCCTCCTGGAGTATTTTCTAATAAGCCGCCCCTTAGCGCACAAAGTCATCTATTGCCATCATCGTTTAACACCACATCATAAGTTATGTATGTACCATATTTGCTGGTTCAACATCCAGTCAGTCTCTACAACGGTCCGACATGACCCCTTAAATTGTCCCGACATTGATTCCGATCAGTTCCTACAATGGTCCAGCATGACCCCTTTAAACTGTCTCAACATTGATTTTGGTCACCTTCTTCTAGGGCAGTTCAGTTTTTTTTTTTTCTTTTTTTCCCCTTTTTAGGGTGTGGTGTTGATGTATTAAGCACTTTTTGACTTCTTTTTTTTATTTAGTGGACTACCAGATTTGTTCGGTAGCATTTATTTGGGCTAGCCATTGAGTTTTTTCCGGCTTCTTCCAGTCATCCATTGGTAAGCTGTGATTGTTGAATATCTTCACATCAGTTTGAGGGGGAGTGTTGAATATAGAAATTAGAGTATATCGAATTTTTTTATTTTTAGTATTATGTGGGTGTTTGGGAAGTGGCTATTTTTTAAGCTTTTTGGCTTTTTGACTATTTTAATATGCTATTTTAATTTTTGTGTTTGGGAAGATGGATTGATTTTTTTGTTTGATTGTTGTATTGAAAAATATGTTTGAAATGATGTTGAGATAAAAAATAATTAAATTATTCCCAAAAAGTTGTGCCTGACGTGATGATTGATTTGTTGGGATATGAAATGACTAAATTGCCCGTGTGTGTTGAAATGCTAAGGTTGTGGGTTAGTCAAAAATTAAAAGGGCAAAAACATAATTTCAAATCTGCCCTACACAGTCATGAATCTGTCCACGTCAGTTTTTGATTAAAAAAAAAAAAACTCAGCTACAGTACAACTTTTTGGCTATTTGAATGAGGCTAAAATAGCCTCTCAATCTCCTTTCCAAACACAGCCTATGTATATAATCTGTGATTGTGTCAATCGTTAATTCAGTATTGTTTCTTATTTATATCATTTCTTAAATTGTATCATGAATTTATTATATATACGTAGCATCTACCTCATTGATGGGAAAAGCCAAATAATTCTTTTCATTCTTTTGTATGCACTAATGAGCTGAGAATTCAGGCTAAAGTTGGAAATTGTTCCTAACCACCCTTGCTTCCACTACCACCATTCCTTACTCCACCTCCCTTAACGTCTATTGCCCTATCTCTCTTTCTTTTCTTTAACCTCCAACCCCTCCCCTATCTCGATCTCGATCTCGATCTCGATCTCGATGTGGTTGCAGGTCTTTATGTTAGAGTTACTTGCTAATCTCACTGTTCGTCACTGCAAGTTAAAGAAAGAGATGAGGATGGAGGTTATGGGCAGTGTGCGGTGTTAATGGTGATTGCTATGGCTGTAGATCTGGTGGTGTTAGCCTTGATTTCGATGTTGTTGGCGGTTGGGGACAGAAGGGAGAGATTGAGGTTGGGGCGGTGGAGGGTTCAGATGCTAAGGGGGAGATGGTGGGAGGCTATTTAGTGGGGAGCTATGGGTTTGGAAGGTTGGGTGGGCTGGGGTTGGGTTTTGGGTTTGAGGTTTTGGATCTAACTTGTGTATATGTGGCCCCACGTGACAGTTTCCGCCTAAATTTGGAAAGAAGTTAGCTTCAAGAGTAAATTGGGAAAATTTTGAAACGTGAAGGGCCGAAGTGAAAAAAAAAAACCATAGGTCCGGCCAAAGTGGGAAAACGGTCAAACTTAAGGGGGCAAAGTTTAATTTACCAATTTAGAAGTACGGATAGCAACAACAGTTAGCTTTGGGGCTGATTTTAATTGGGTGTTATAGCTGAAATTACCATAAGAGTAGGGGACAGGTAGTGTTTGTTTAGGGTGATAAATGGTTAAGAGTTTAAGCATGAAAAGATGAGAATTTTTGGGGCTGTTTTAGGGCTGTGAACAGGTACCCATAAAACAGTATTTGGGCTGTTGAAGTGCAGAAAATAAATGAGAGAAAGAAGGAGAAGAAGATAGTTCCTAGGAATCACTCATTGAGGCCTTAGGTATCACACTTAAGGTTTGATTGCATTACACAATCCATAAGAAAGCTTCGAAATTGTTAAAATTGTCTAAGGCCCAATTAGGTTAGACAGAGAATACATAAAAGTCAACAAAAAAAGAAAAAAATAATTTTTTGTGTTTCTTTAGATAAAGAGTTCTCGAAAGTAATGGAAACTAAAGTTTCCTATACAACTCAAATTAGCTTGTTAGTTAAGCTTGCAATTTTTTTTTTGCAAAATATACAATTTCACACAAAACTTGACGAAGAGTATATTGTTTCCCGCTTTGTCTATACTTCTCTTAACAACCCCCTGTCATGCGGTGATTACATTTGTTTCCATCCTTTTCTTGCAATTTTTTTTTTATCTATTCAAATGCATGCAAGAAACTAAAATTTCATTTTTTCCCTCGTTTTCACTTCACTTTTTACCATTTTCATTTTCTATCATTCGTTTCTTTCTAAACAAAAACGGAGCCTAAAATATCAATTCCATTGAATCAAAAGCATTACATGACTTAATATAAAATTCGAAGATTTCCTAGACCAACTAGAACAAAAAAAAGTAAACGACTAAAACTTTGACTTTCAAAACCTATCTAAAACCAAATAAGAAACATAACTAAAAATTAATTTATTAACTTGACCCACATGATGACCCATGGGCGACCCCTACAGCCCATGATAGCAAATATGAAAATTACCAAAATACCCATGACCTAAAAACTCTAAAAAAAATAGAAAATAAGACTTTAATAAAAAAAAACTTGAATCCATGGCAATTTCCAAATATTGCCACTTCTTAAACTCTTTCTTGCTCTTCTTGTGGATTGCATCAGCTAACTTCCTAAGAATCGGGACTGAAATTGGGATTTATTTCACCCTTTTGTGGACAAAGATATTGTTTTTTGGCTGTTGTCTTTCCTTTGTTGTAAGTACCTTGGTAGTCATGACTGCCTGTATGACTTTATTTGTTTTTCCTATTTTTCTTCATTTGTCTATTTAATTTTCGGACGTAAATTGTTTTTAGGAAGTTTAATTTTTTGTTCATACTTTTTGTTATAGGTTCTTCGTCCATGGGTTTTTCCTATTTTTGGTCCCGAGGTATTATTTTCTTCAGTTTGTATATGATAATCTTGTCCAATTATTCTAGACAGGATTATTTCACATGGTTATATTAACTTATTTCCAAAGATAATTTACTGAATCTTGCTGAGTTGATTATTAATTTTATGGATGTAGTGGAATGATATTAGCCCAAACGAAGTAGCAATTGCATTGGAGATGCTTAGGAATTATGAGCCTCTGAAGGTATGAACTTGGCAGTTTTTGTGTTCTTGACTTTTTTGTTGAGCTCTTAGAAATTTGTCACTATTGTTTGTCCTTTTTTTAGAGTAATTTTTCTTAACATTCAAAAGAGTTACGCTAAATTAACATCATAATTAGTACTTCAAGTTCTATTCTATAAAATCTGGGGCTACTGTCCAAATCTTCTGCTGACATGAGTTGCAGCTTCAGCATGATGTGTTCTAAACACTCATTGTTTGTTAATTTAGTAGTTGGAGCACATTTTTCTGTTTCGCTTTGGTTTCTTTATCAGTTTTTTTTTTTGGGTAAGGTTCTATATTATTTTTACATTCTTAAAATTTAAGTGTTCGACTTTTAAAATTTAGTGATCAATTTTAATCATATGTCTGATATGTTGTCCATTGAAAACCAGGAAGATTGTAAAATGCAGCTTACCTTGGAATTGACAAATGAGAAAAGTTATCGTATTCTTGATTCTTTGATTTTAGAGGCTTTGGGGGGGCGATGACATTGAATTGCTACGTAATTGTTTACCTAATACAGCAGATGATGTGTTTCTCGCTGAGGATGTTACTTTTGCATGCTCATTTTTAGCTGATGGCTTATTCATTGGGCTCTATGAATTGGCTGCTATGAAAACATCAGCGGTATCACCCTCTCTCTGCTCTTTCCCCCCACCCCCTTTCACTTAATTTGTCTTGTGTGTGTGGAAATGTTACAACTTTATGTAAATGGATGAATCAAAGTGCTTGTTTTATGCATTTTTCTCTCTTTATACTCTTTTTTTTTGGTGGTTTTCTGTTCCATATTTGAAATGGCCTTTCTTGAGTTCCTAAGTTGCACATATACTATTATGATTTTGGCATGTTCATGTTGGACACTTCTTGACATGTGTATAACACACATCCTAACTTTTGCTATTATTATTTTTAAAATTGTTTGTATAACTGGACTAACTTTGCACAGATGGGGTTATACATGTTTTTTGCTTACGCAAACATGAAATTCTTAATTTTAGGAACAATTTTTGATAATTTATTTAGATGTTGACTTTCTAAAATTGATGTTGGACTTTTTGTTCTCACTTCTTTTCTCATTTATAGAATGTGAAATGATTTCTTATACTAAAATAAAATAAAAATTTATTTTTAAAGTAAAAATGAATAGAGTTGTTATGTGGGTAAATTATATTGATTTTCCCCAAGTAATGATGCAGTTTGAGGAACTTTTATTGACCTCCCGTATGGTAATGATAGTTGTAATTGTTTTAATGAAGGTGATGGAATTTCTGTATTACCTTTAGGTACTTTGCGTTTAAATGTGGACACGGACACAACGTGGACACGACGATATATTATATTTTATTTACTACATAAATTAATACTACATCCACAAACAAATAATTCGATATTTTACAAACAATCCGAAGTGTCCTTGATGTGGCCCCGACGTGTCCTTAAAAAAAATTAATTAAATAAACCGGCACACCGGATGGCGTGTCCCATATGTGTCCCTATGTTCTATACCTCTATGACACTTGTTTTGAAGTGTCAGTGCTTAATAGATTGTCGCACATTAACATCCAAACATCTACCAAAAATGCTAAAACAAGTTATATTCCCTTACCAAAATATAATTCAATGGCTAAGAATAAAACATTTGAAATTCTATGGCTACTACAGGTTGCATTTGGGTTTATAGTGGGTTCCTTCATGTCCACATGCTGACATGAATTATTGTATGGATCTTGCTCAGTTTACGCGTGTTCAACCCTAAATCAACCAATTTAATATTCGTGTTGTCGTGTCGTGTAATGTTTGTGTTTGTGTCAAATAAATGACCAACCCAAACTCTCTAATTATGTGTAAATTTTGAGTTGTGTTAACGGGTTGGATGTCAAATTCTCACCCCTACCAGCAAGGGAACAAGAGGAAAAATAGAATACAAATTCCTAAATAAAGTTACTGTTGAATTAATCTTCAGTTTATGCTTCAACAAAATTTGTTCTCGTCCCCTATCACTAGCGCCACAAACTAGTTCTTGTTGTTTCATAGGTTTTCCTAATTTTATGTGTTCTATGCCCTGCATGTTCAAGTGGTTCATATATTTTTGTGGTGTACTTTTGATTAATCATTTTTCCTGCCTTCATTTCGGCTGTTTTCAGTTACTGTAGTGCATCCTGGGTGGGTGTTCTGTTGGTCTCATCGAATTCCTTAGCTTCTTGCATTGGGGGTGTACATGGATTAGTTTGGTTCGATTTTGGGGAAAACCATGAACTGCACACCAATCTGGGAGCAATAAACCGCATGTCTAAACGATTTAATACGTATATAAAAAATAAAAATAAATTGGACCTGGACAGGGGACTGGTTTTTGAAAGAAAAAGAACCAGTTCAGACTGGTTTACGGATTAGTCAGTTTTTGTTTGACAGCCCTATCTTGCATTGTTTGGTCATGTAATTTTTGTTGGTAAGAATGTGTACATGAAATATTGGATATCTTTCTCTCCGAGAATATGTAAATTACAGAATATTAACAACAGATATTACATACAGACAGAATAATAAATAGAAACAGATCATGTAGATTTTCCCTTAACAAAATAATAAATAAAATACAGAACTTACAACTTTCTTGAAAATCAAACTTAGAACAAATTTGTGATTGAGGCCAGTGAATGGACACTGTGTCCTTAAGACAGAAATTCGTCCTCTCCTAGGTGCTTGAGAATAATGGACGTCCTGCCTCCAGGATTCAACAATCACCCCAAACAGATGCAGCACTGCAACCTTGTTTGTACAGCGAACCAGAATATGTGCTTTATACTCCCTCAAACTTAAACTCTAAAAATGGAATATGCAAGATGAATAGAGAAGGAAAAGGAAGATCTAGAAAAATAGTTATATTTTTCTTAGAAATAACCAGAACGGAGGACTGCCTAATATAGGCAATGGAAACACTGTTTCGGAAAGACATGTCTCTGCAATTTTGAAAAATCAGTCCGTTGACGTCCGTTGAAATTTGAATGTAAAATTCAAACTTTCTACCAACTAACTAATATCAATTCAAATAGCTTGGGCCCATGAAAATAAGTAATGGGCTTGACCCAAACCCAACTTATCTAGGACCTTACCATGTCTAATGTTTATAAACCTCAATTAGAAGTCAATTTCCCATTCACCTAAAAATGGTTTGACTCACTAATTATATAATCTAGTTCACCAAATAATTAGCATAAAGTTTCCGAAACATCAAAATTTAAATCATTTTTCCAACATGAAATTGGTAATTGGATCGTGGTGCCTTGAATCCCATTCGCGATGCTCTCTCTATGGTTTCTATTTTATGTCTCCTTTCATGATGTCGGTCGTTTTGTTTTGTGTTCTTTGATTTTTTGTTTTTTTGTTTTTTTTCAGTTGCTGTACTTCCAGGAAGCTGTAATTTTTCCTTTATCAGATGGTTGCTTTGGACCTTTTACAGATGAGTTCATTGAAGTGATTAAAATTGCTGATCATGAGAGAAGAATGCAAGGTGATCGTTTCATCAGTGTAAAGCATCTTTTGTTTGGCCTTTCACTTTCAAGTGTTCGTAGATGTGTTGAGATGATGCTCCGTGGTAGAGTGCTAGATTATACGGGTCAATTAGCTTTGAAGCTCTCATCGTTTAGCATTTACAAGTTATCGCGCGATGCAGCTACCATTCTTGGTTAGATTTCTATTTTTGTAATGTCCTCAACATCCTATTGAATTTACTCGTTATAAATTTATATTGCCGCTGGATATTATGAATCTTTTTATTTTAAAATGAGGTAAGTTGGGCTGTTCTGGAAATATTTGAGTCGTTAAATTGCTAGTTCAGCCTTAACGTTGCTTTGGGTTCGGTTGAGGAAACTGGATTTGTCCAATTGGTGGATGCAGTAGGTTTATGCATATTCATGTTCCCCCCTCACACCTGAGCATATATTTCGCAGGTGATAAGAATGTTGGACTTGAGCACTTGGTTCTGGCAATTTTCTATGGAAAGCAAGAAAATGATCGTACAGGGACGGTAAGGTCTATTTATTTGGGTATCCTTTTTGTTAGGTCTTCCCATCTTCATTGTTATGGATAACTGACCAAAACGGAAATGTCCACTGGCACACAAATATTGGTTAGTTATCCGTGTTACTTTTTTCCAGCATATTTTGCTTGGCAACATGGGGTCTTGAGCTTGCTATTATGTTAATTATGAGTGACTTTTCCATAATTATTATTTTATTTCTCTTAAAGGCTGCACAGGATGATTGCAGTTCTTTGTTCTTCGACGAGAAGAAATGGGATGATTACCTCTTGAAACGTAAGAATCAAATATGCATTCATTGTTTATATGATATACACAAATGTTTAGATATTTATATAATATATATATATATATATATCTGTAAATGGAGTTTTATTCAATTGACTTCCTGTGCTTATTTTTGCCTTTTGCAATCTTCCCTCTCCCCAGATTTAAGATACAGGGATGAGTGTGATTTTGCAAGCTTCAATGACAGTGATTTTTTCAGATCATTGCTACCCGAAGATTGTTTGTCTTTTGGTAGACCGGCGGCATTATGTGGCTTTTCTATCAAGGATGAGCTGCACAAGGCTTTAAAGTCTGGCTTGAAGTTGAACGCTATTCGGGGGTAGAATTATTACCTTCCCTTTTGTGGGCTGGTCTGGCTTCCACTGTATATGCTGTTTGATACATCACGAATGCCCCTGTGAATATGGCTGGAAGGTTATTATTACTTTCGAAATAGGAATATATATTGCAAGTGAAGCCCGTGTTTGATTTATTTATTTGTTTATCTTTTTGGCTGAAAATTGCTTAACTTACGTTTCATGTGATAAAAAAAAGTGGTTAGACATCCTCAAGTAAAGCATGTGGAAGACCAAAAGAGTTATACTAGTTCATGACCACTTAATAATATACAAAGCTGACATACTCGATTGTTTTATTATTTAGGTAAGTTATGATGTGATTTAAATTATGATAGATATGTGAGTTTTATTGATTTAAAGTATGATAGTCAGAGATATTTTCAAATCAAATCATTAAGAAAGTTGAGAAATACTTAAAAATAAGGATCCTAGTGTCATAGAGAATATAATGGTGCTCCTGTAAAAGTTACAAAGTTGGTATATAAATAATAATAATAATAATAATAATTAAAGTGCGGGCGGTTTTTGCGGGTTGCGGGTTTAAACCGCGACCCGCCCGCAACCCGCAAATTTGTCATATTTCAAACCGCATCCGCCCGCATTATGTTTGCGAAACCGCCCATTTATATGCGGGTTGGGCGGATTGGGCAGTTTGAGCGGTTCGGATAAACCGTTGCCCACCCCTAGTCAAAAGTATATTGATGATAAAAAAAAGTGGTTAGACATCCTCAAGTAAAGCATGTGGAAGACCAAAAGAGTTATACTAGTTCATGACCACTTAATAATATACAAAGTTGACATACTCGATTAGTCCCTGTTGGTCTATTGGCTCTTATACTGTGTATCATACAACGTAATCACTGACAACCACACAAGGAAAGGGTATTGTACTTTACTCAGTTAATGATAAAAGGTTAGTTGATACATAATTCTATCTCCATGTATATACACACGCATAAGAAAATCCAAGAGAAGCACATTAATATTTGTGTACAAATATAGGTTTTTTTCTTGGGTGTTCCAAATAGAAGCCTGGACCTTCCTGTTCTGTCACCGTATGTGGGTCGGCAAAATTTTGATTAGAGTGGCAATTTTGACCCGCATCTTTGAATCTACCCACGGCCGCCCGTAATTTATGGATTTAAACGCGCTTGTTTATTAAGCGGGTTATAATTGGGTAATATATATGGGTTTGTGTGGGCTGGTATTGGGTCATTGAAAAAATTAGGGGGTTGTTATTAGTACTTAATTTCTTTGGACTCCTCAATTCTCATTTTTTTTATTACATTTATTTCCTGAAATGTAATTTTATTAAAGGACAATCTTTAATGAAACACCAACTCACCAAATAAAGACAATTTTATGATGTCATACTCACCTACCTCCCCCACCTAAATGTATTCCTCACTCATCTAAATCCAATGTATTCTTCTTCATCAACGTTTCTCTTCATCACTTTTCTAAATTCAATGCATTTCTCTTCATCACCGTCCTAAACCCTAAACGTATTCATTTTCATCACAATCCTAAACCTTGAATCAGAAACTAGTGATTGAATTGGAATGGATGTTTGTTATATTGAATTGGAATGGAAAAGAATGAATTGAGGGTTAATTTACATAGTACTGAACAAATGATGTTTGGCAACACAGTGGTGAAAAAATTATTTATACTCGGCAACACAGTGTTGAACAAATTATTTACGTTCGGCAACCCAGTGCTAACAAATTTGTTTATGTTCAGCAGTAGAGTGTTGAACCAACCCTTGGGCGGTCAATCGGCCAGATGATCAGGTGGACGATCGATGGTGTGATTTTGGCTCAATTTTACAACAATGATGCAATGGTTTTGATAAAATGGACACTGTCATTCACTGATTTCGAATAAATCAAAGAGAGGGACCGTCATCGTCGTCATTATTCAACAGGAGAGGGAGGGAGAGGGACCGTCTTCACCATGATAGATAGAGTGTGCAAAATTAGGTAGGTGTGTACTTGGGTGTGATGATATTATGAATAGGGATAAATTTAATATTAAGTGGAGTGTTAAAAGAAATTCTATTAAAATTTAAGATTTATGGTAGAGATTTAAAGAAATTAGGGGTTCAAAGAATTAAAGTAAGTGCTAACAGCAGCCCTAATAAATTAAGGAAAATGAGTGAGAACACTAATTAGTGCTATCACTAATGATGTGGCAGTGGGTCCCACTATGAATGATTTGATGTTTTGGCCTTGATGTTGTATTTTTTTTCTTTTTTTATTGAGTGCCATGTCATTAGTGATCTTTTTAGAGCTCCAAAATTAGTTGTCTCTATCATTGTTGATAAATTAATACAAACATGCAATGCTGATAATTCAACCTCGCGCTAACCGCGATCAAACAACATTGTTAACCACTCCACCACATGTTCACTTGTGCAACTTAACTACGTTCATTTTAGGATAAATTACAAATACACCTTCTGAGATTTATTTAAAGCACAGTTTGTCTTCTGTGATTTAGAAAATTACAAATACTCCCTTATTAGAATTTTTTATTTAACAGAATTAACTAAAAAAATGAAATTCATAATTGCTCTCCCATACAATAATAAAATTACCTAAATTATAAATTGAAACATATTTCTAATATCATTAAAAACTGTTAATTTACTTGATGATTTATTAATAAAAAAGACAATTTGTTATAAAATTAGAAACTTTAGAGAGTGAAATATAATTTTCAAAATTACAGAAGGCAATTCATATTTTAATCAAATCTCATGAATTGTATTTATAATTTACCTTTATTTTATTTATAGCAATTCTGATTAGGACACGTTATCTCTCCTCTCTTTGTGCTTGTGCACAAGCACATTTATATATCTACATAGAAAAACAAATATATATTTGATATAAATGTGTTTAGGTTGGTTTTTATTTTTATTTTTTATTGAATGTTATTTTTTTTATTTAAATTTCTTCAATTTAAATTCTAATAAGAAATTATTTTTTTATTTTATTCTTTTATTCTTCTAGTTTTATTCTTGTCCCTTCTTTTGAAAATGTTATATCGTATTTTTATTTTTATGTATTTATTTTTTTATCAAGATTTATATCTAAAATTTTAAACCGACCCGATATCTTTATATAAAAAATGGTTATGTTGATCCAAATCATAAGTTTTGGAATTTTTTTTAAATACATGACTATATATATGTAATTCTCTAAAAGTTATTTCTGACATTTTTTTGTTAGCAAAAAAATATTTTTTTTAAAAAAAATTGCATATGTTGGAAAAATGAGTTCAATAATGTAAATGGGTTGGTCGGGTTGATGTGCCCAATCTGTACCCAAATCAACCCAACCCGTTTAAACCCATTTAGTAAATGGGCGAGCTTGGATTGAATTGTCTTATTACACAACCCATTTTAACTTGCCCGTTTGCCACCTCTAGTTTCGATGCCAATTTTATTGATATTTTAGGCTCATAGGTGTAATAGATTATTCATGAAAAAATTAGATTTATTTGCTAGTTGTGATCTTATGATTTTGTTAAGCGGATGGATGGCGGATTAATTTTTTTCAATCGGCTAAGTTCGGACGGATGACGGATGGGAGGTCACCCGATCTAACCTGATCCGTGAGCACTCCTAATATAGGGCAAATTATATTGGTAATTTCAACATTTTAGCACTTGACTTTTTAGTTTTTACAATTTCTATTGACTCAATTTTAACCTTTAATTTTAGATTTTGCTTCAATTTGATCTAATTAGTGTCATTGCGGTTTTTGAATTTTTTTTTCTTTGAATTAATTGGTGTTAAATCACTGAATTGATCAAGTTTACAATTTTGCTACTTAAAGTATAACACATATTGCTCATGTGCACATTTGTCATAAAAAAATGCTAACAATTTGAAGTAATCGGACCAATTTGAGACAATAAAAAATTCATGGTCAAAATTGATGCAATTGAATATGGAGGGGTTAAAATAATACAAAGACCAAAGTATGGGGACTAACAGTGTTGTTGCAATGTGACAGAGATAGAGAGGAGAGTGATAAGAATTAAAGAACCGATGCATCGTTGTAGTAGTTTTTCCAATTTTTAAGTAAGAAAGAAAAAAGCTACTTTGTGTTGTATTATTTGTGTGTATAATATGTGTGAAATTCTATTTACACACCATTGTTCCTTTCGGTGCACACCATTTACTTTTTTCTTTAAAAAAATTTCTGTTGTATCCCTTAACTAAATTACTCTTTTAGACATAATTTACAAACACTAATCTCTTAGTTCACACACCTCAACAGCCACCACGGGCGCAACCACAAACACCACCATCACCATAGGCCACGCCGACTCCCTTTTTCTTCTTGTTCTTGTTCTTGTTCTTCTCTTCATCTTCCTCTTTATCTTAAATTTAGGGTTTCAAGCTAGGAGGTCAGGGCTTGGGTTTAGGATAGCGGTAACGGCCGCAATCACCAACCCACTTTTCTTCTTCAAATCGCTCTCTCTCTTTCTCTCTCTCTCTCTCTCTCTCTCTCTCTCTCTCTCTCATTGTATCGTGAATGTCATATGGGTGAGAGGATTGCAAAGGTGGTGGGTCATGGTGGTGAAGAGCAAGGTTGGGGAAAGACTAGAGAGGAGCGACGGGGCCGGGGAGCTTGATTGCAGAGGTAATGGAAGGAGAGGACTTGGAAAGACGATTGCAGAGCAGCGACAAAAGAGGCAGGCCATGGCGAGAGGGTGTTGGGAATAGTGTGGCAGTGAAAGGAAGGAGTTATGGAGGGTTATTGGCTAGAGAGGGGATGTTGACAGATCTGTGGCAGTAGAGGCGTTGCAGTAGCGATGACGACGGTGGTAGCAGTGGGTGGTAATGTATGGTTACGGTTAGGGTTTGTGATAGGGAAGAAATGGGTATTTTGTAGGGGTGTAATTCTGGCCCAACTCAGCTCACTAACAGGCCTCACGGGCTCTTGCTAAAATTTGGGCTGAAAAGTTAGGCCCAGGCCCTGGCCCACTCAAAATAGGGCCACAGGCCTAGGCTTGGTGCCTAGGCCGATGGCCGAGGTTGGTGGGCCTTACTAGCGTACCAATCATTTGCATTATACTCCACTTCAATAATCTAATAAAAACGTTACGAAATGAAATA